CATAAAAGATTCCACAGCATACCTGGGAAACAACAGACATTCTCCCCATACGTTTCACATTATAGCAGTGATAGAAACCATGATCCAAGCAACCCTCTGGCAATGCTACCTGACATAGTTTCTCAAATCAAAGGAAAGAAAAAAAAAATGTAATGCGTGGCCATTCCACTCTCAAAGACTTAGCACATCAATAGCACTTGTGATTTGTCTGGTTTCTGTTCCTTAAACATATTACATGATTCTCAATTCAACCTGCCCAATACTGTATCTTTCACTCTTGCTCCACAAATTCAAGTCATCCCACAAACAATACAACCCAGTAAAAGGAACCACTTATTTTTAAACAAAGATATTGTGAATTGTGTCAATTGCATAGTTCTAATATTTGTCAAGTTATCCGGAGCCTAGTTACATGAAAACATTGCAGGACCTCCTGAAGCTAGCACTAATGAATGTTGAATGTAATATGTTAACTATTAAGCAGATCAGAAACTAAAAAGCCTCAGGAGTTCCCTTTCTAAAAATCAAGAGGTGACGTCCGAAGATGTGAGTTGGTGCTATCAGGACAGGGACGTGTATTTAGGCTCCAAAATGACAGGCACATATTTCAACTTTGGTGCCTCACAGCACTGGGGTGGGCCCTTGGTTCAATTCCTCCTGTGTGGAGTGTGTATGCTCTCCCCGTGTTTGCATGGGTTTCCTCCCACAGTCCAAAGACATACTGGTAAGCTTATTGGCAACTGGGGAAATTGGCTCTGGTGTGGTGAGTGTGTGTTTGTGTCTCTGTGCCCTGCAATGCACTGGTGTCCTTTCAGGCTGCATTTTGATTTGTGCCCAGCACCCCTGCGACCTTGTACTGGATAAAGTTGTTTAGAAATCAGAGGGGATGGAACGATTTATCATTTTAACTTGGCCTACAGAATGCAAAGTTTGGGAGAATGATCAAATCACGTGAAATCACGTGGTGACCCTAACCAGTAAGCAAAGGTATTTAACATTACGCAGATGGGTGTATATAAACCCTAAACCTTGTTGGTCTAATAATTCCTCAGTCTACAGATCAGAGGGAAAAATGTACATTAGTAGGTACAGTGGATTGACTGCAACAATAACAGAAGACATGCTAAAATACAGCTCTCAGAGTGCAAGAAAATGTGCTTGGAACAGGAAAGCAAAAAAAACATTGTGTCATTGGTTATTTACCACAGCTTGCCTCATCTAACCCTTTCTGGGTTAAATAAACTGATATGATATAAGATACTGTATGTGATATCTGGAAGGAATTCAGCAAAGCACAAATAAATTGCCATGTATATTTCAGACTTCAGTTACCATCTGTAACAATTTGTCAAACATTTTCACTCAGCTGGTACAGAGATACCGCACAAAGCAACAATTAGCCTACAAATGTAGACTTCACTTTGTTCGCGGGCCAAAGGAGAGTTTAATATCTAAAATTGCTGGAAGCCATTTGAGGTCAATGTCCTAGCAGGAGATTTTGATTAGGGTTGGCATGGTGTTTACAAGCTTGACCAAACATGACTCAGGAAAAAAAACACTCAAAAATGAAATGCTTTATAAGAAATAGTATTAGGCAATCTTGATCCTAGCAGAGATCAGAATGCTAGTACTAAGCAGGTACTTTAGGCATGTTAGAATTGGCAGCCTCCGGTTTCAAAATTTCTGCTCCTGTAACTTTAATAATCTTCCTCTCTCTCCAAGATAGGTCTTGGCATGCATCAAGCACTTCCCCTCCTTTGCTTAGAGTAACCTGCAAAGAACAGACCTGCAAGCCATGTTTTTTTGAAAGCTGGCTTCCAATCCAATTACAGCACTGCGCTGCCTTGCTTTAGGGTGTGTCTAAGGATATGAATCACAGTTTATACAAAGCCAACACCCATCTGTACAATATGTAAAAATGTTCAGGACGGAATGTCATTATAGGGGACTCAATAAAATTCCAACTCAGATTTATTATGCAAAACACTGGAATTAACAGCATGCTGTTCTCGCTGCTAATGAGGAGGGGAACAAGAAAGCTTATACATAATACACCAGAGGCCTTTTTTATCTAAAGCCCTTTTGTTAAGGAACAAAGAATATATCACATTTTCTGACAGGACAGCTAATCTGCTATGGAAAACCAAGTTAACAGGCAGGAGCAGCCATTCGAGGTTTCAATCAATCTGCGATTTTTTTCTTTAATAAACATATGGAAATTACAGTGTTGCAAAACTGTAGGTAAATCATTAAGCACAACATTCAGCTTCCAGACTGCAAAACTGAAAAATGCCATGTCCATTTTTCTCTTTCATTGTTACTTCAAAAAAAAAAAATCTGGGCATTTATGTAAAACAATTTAGTCCTTTCTTTAAAAAGAACAGAATAATGTAATTGCTCAGTCATTTTCTACTTATGCAAACAGGGCGTGCTATCTTCTGTGTTAACCATCTGTGTATCCGTATACACGTTTTATATTTCGTATTATTCAGCTGATTATATTTAAACTTTTAACAAAACATTTCGTTTTTTTAAAGATCTGGTAAAGTCAAATGCTCAACACGTTAGGTGAAAGGCAGAATTTTCTTACATGAAACAGACAAGATATGAAAAAAACATATTCACCAAATGCCACTATAAATTTCCCCCTTTAAAAAATGTTTCATATTTGATTATGTCTAGACTTCCAGTTGCGTGTGTAATATATAGACCTCCGTCTGAACAAACGTCTTACAGAATTCATTTTTTTACTCATAACAGATTTTGAACCATCCAGCTGTCTGCAAGATTATAGCCTACAGTCTGTGCTGCCGGGAGGGTCTTCTCCTCCCAGTCTTGCACAGCAACATTTCACTCCTGAAATATCTCATCATCTACACCACAACTGCCGTGTTTCAGTTACAGCTACAACCCCGTTTACATTTCGAGTCAAAGAGTTTCCTCTAAAAGAACAACATGAAAGGTACAAGGAAGGTTAACACCACATAGCGAAAATCTTGAAAAGGGCGAGCAGGCTGAAAAAAAGGCGCGGTGTAGTAGCCCTCCACGTTATCTTGTGAAATTCAAATCATTGCTGGCGAGACCATCGTGGAGACAAAACATTATGAATGTAACAAGTGTTTTGGTTTAAATCTATATTAAGCGGTTGCATACTAATGAAGGTGCTCTGCAGTTGTAAAGCTAGAGCCTGTATAGAGCACGCATTAAGACTTTGCGACGTGAACAAAATATTTAAAGTCATAAAACTGAGATTTCAACGGTATATGTCCAGACCACACATCACAGGAGCGGCCATGCCCTGATGTGCTGATCGCCATACTGTACAGTATGTACTTGCTCTTGCAACAACAGGGCTAATAAATAAAGGCACGGGTCAAGGACATAAAAAAACATGGCCATAAAAAAAGTAAAAAGGTCGAAGGATTCTGCGGCTTCAACTGTGCCACGGTGAAAGTGCCCATTTAAATGCATAGCTTTAAATTGCACTTGTGTGCCAGCTCTAACATCCTCTAAGCAGCCCGGCGAAGACTGCGGACTATTAACACAGCTAGGCATTTCTGACACCTGCCCAAATAGCACTGTGTACACAGATGTTAACGGCCCAGCAGGTGTTAACTGTAAACCACTTTCCTCAAACGCAGTGGAAAACCAAGACGATGAATCTTCATCCATTCTCTTAACAAAATGGTCAGCCGTAGGAGTGTGGAATAAGAGAAGAAATGCATCAGAGGTCAGAGTTGTATTGCCGTCTGTTATCTTTGAAACTGTTTTTTTGGTGATAACCTCACTTTTTTTGAGCTGGTCGCAAAACAGGAACCAATGCACCTTTGTCCTGTCGAAGCTCAAGTTCTGTGCCACGACGTTTAGCATCTAGACAAAAAAGGCCCCATTCTTGACCAAGAAGGAACCCTAATAATAGTTCTACCAAAAAAATAGAATCTGTTTATTGTAAATATGATGCGCAATTAATCATTTTCAAAACAAAATCTACACCGAGAAAGTTATTTTGTCTTAAACCTCGTCCGTTTTTAGTTATATTAGGAATTAAACTCTGGCGATGGGTACAAGGGTTTCTACTACAGAAACACTTCATCAGTTGCGACCTCCACTAATTCTGCATGTCTGTAGCTCAACTTACGACCGCACCTCTAAGTGGGGTTAAAAACACCCGCTTACATCTCAATTTAATTGCAGTGAATAAATACGCGAAAGATTTCTGCAGTGAAACAGCACATTTAAAGCGATGTTTTCTCGGCTTTGTTAACTTGCTGCGGAGTCCCTGTCAAAGGCCACGCGGACACAATAGCGGACCCCCTGCACCCCCACCGCCGCCGCAGCTCCGAATACCAAAGCATCGTCACTCTTCTGTTGTTTTTTTTTACAAGAAATTCAAATGTTCTTAAATTCCTCCGCTTTTAGCGTGCGCTCTTCCGATAAGCACTGCAGTTTAGTTCAGGAGTTTTACATACAGTACTCTTAAATTTCAGTAAAATTAATCTGAACAATTATATTGGCTTCTTAAGAGCAACTTTAATGTTTAAAATAAACCAGAACAACTCCTGCATGGTTTGACAAACTACTGGAAGGTTAACCTCAGGAAATCAATCAACGCAATCATTAACTGAACACAAATCGCCTTTTTACATCGTGCACGTCTATTAAAATAAACGTACAGTACGCGTCTCAAAACCTACGGATCTGCGTTATAATTAAATACATATATATATATATTAACCTGAAACACCCTGTTCTACAAATCAGTACCACCCGTAAAGTAACAGAGGAATTGCACATCCCTCTGTACTAAAGAACCTGCCGCCTCATATAGAACAAGTGTCAACCTGTACTTCACCAAGTCAGCAAATCTCAAAACGTTGATCACACAAACGCCGTATTTTAACAATTATACGGAAAGTTGTGTTCTCTTTTTGTATTTAAAAAAGAAACACATTTAACAGATGCACCTAAAAAAAAAAAGAAACACAAAACACAAAACTTACATTCTTTTCTCAGCAGGGTGTAACTGCCTATGCAAGGCGAGGGAAAAGCCAAACAAGCTACCGGGTTCTCCGTTCCTCCTCAAGACATTGACTGTATCAAGGTTGAAAGCTGAAACGTGCGTCCTTTTCAGAAGACAAATAAGCGAAAAGGAAATAAAAAAAGACGTTGCCGAAAACGCCATTGCCCGGTGTACTTATGTCTCTTCCCTTATCCTCCGTTCCCAGTTCCCTGCGCTTGAGCAGAAACTCTCGAGTTCCAGAGAGTGAATGTTGCCCTTGTTCTCTTGGGGCTTAGGTTTTTAACGAACAGCACCGCGCCCCTCCTCTCTTACCCCCGCCCCGTTACACTCCGTACCTACCTAACACAGCCTTGGGCACAGGAGTCTCTTCACCTTACCTGCTCAAAGGCGTTTTAACCTTGAGTAATTCCCATGCATGATTTGAATGCAGGGTTATACCATCGATGCCACTGTGTGAACTATGTATCCTAAGGCCATGCACACCTTTGTGTGGTCACAGTGTCACCCTCATTAAATTTCTTTATAGCAGCAGCTGTTCTTTAGATCAGACACTGTGCTTTTTGCGGTTATTTTAAAGAGCGTTCAATGATTGTATTGATTATAATAAAAATTATGGAAATTTGTTACCGCTATAATATGCAACAATTCCACATGGTTTGAAAAAGCTACACCGCTTTTTGCTGCTTTTAATACTTTTTCTTTCTTGAGAAAACCAGAAATTCTGATACACTTTGTCCTGTTGTGCATTTTGGTATTAAATATATCATTTTGAAATCTAAACAGATATTAGTTTATTACCATAGATGGCACGTATCTACTGATTAATCCAATGCCAGCTTTTAAAATACGAAACACATGGCGTTAGTTTCCTTTCTTATATTTGAACTTTTTTAATGTAAAAAGGCAGCTGCCTTAAGTGACTTCTGAGAGTCAATGACATAACGTACATTGATTTTTGAAGTAATGTTATGTAATGTTAGTATGAAAGGAGATAAATCATTTTTTGATTAAACGCAGCCAAAGGACTCCTTCAAAGTTGAAGACCTTTCAGTCTTTCGTGCATCACCTGTGCTGTTCATTATATAAAAATACGTACATTTCTTAAAAATTATTGTTTCCATCCATCAGAAAAAAATTGATTTAACTGTAAGCGGACAAAATTAATTTTCTTAAATTCTGTTTTATTTCATTTCGCCATGAAAAACATACACATTGCTCCTAAGAGTTCAGCGCTTGTGCACTTAAAATTTCTGCATTTATGTCACATGAACCAGCGTCTGTCACCCACCTATCTGACACTCTTTAGACTGAGTGTCTTTTCAGTGCACAGCGAGGAAGAGAAACCCAGCCCCACTGGCAAACTGTTCTGTTGTTGTTTGACTGTGCCCAGGGAGCTCAGCTGGAGCTGAAACGCGGATGGCCAGCAAGTCAACTGTGAACCTAATCAGTTGGACAAATGAACCTCCCAAATCTACGCAGACAAAGGGGTTGGGCAGGGCGGACTGAGCCACTGCTTTATTCTGTTGTGATAATAAGCTGCCAGGCCTGGGACAGATACGAGCACTTTAAACCAAAAGGCTGAGGTGCAGCAAATCTATCTCACAATCCCGTCACTCAACCTCCGTTTTCCTGACTTTGCACCCTATCGCCTCATGGTTCATTTCATCCCATTAGGGTAAATCAATAAGCGACACAAAATTTGTGAATTAGCCCATGGATATGATCCACAGAAAGGGAGAAATACCTGGTGCTTCTGAGCATAGCCACCTTGCCCACCGTTTGGTATGCAAACCAGTTGGGGGTGAGATCCAGACTACAAGGGAGGCAAAGTGACAGTCCACAACCAAGCTCCTCAATGCACCTGTTGCAGGACAATGCCCTTTGCCTCTAGGATTTGCCTAATGTTTCAAGGCGCTGACCACGCAGAGGTGAGAACTCCAGTGATGGTAACAGGATCTAAGTACTGTAGCACTGCAGCAGTGGCTCAGGAACTGACCCTCCTTATTTCACTTTGTGGCCAACAAAGTCCGCAAGACAATGGCATAATGTGCATAAAAGGAATGTGGTTTTTGAAAATTCTTTTTAGAACTGAATGTCAAACTGCTGTCATGTTGTCCAAAGAAGGTCTGGTTTCAGGTGCACTAATGTTCCCTACCACTATCACATCGCTGACATTGAAAGGTTTTGTATTGGTTTGTCTTGACATGAACCTCTGCTATCTTAAGCATATTTTGGACAGTTTTACTGCTATAGGTTCAATCTCATCCCTGCTGGGCAAAGTGCTTCAGTACACAACGTAACTTTTGAAGGCTGGCTTACAGGTTGCCTTGCTATGTATAGGATGTGTAAATTAATGACAGTCAATTCTCTATCAAGCTAGTGTACAGCACACAACCTTAGAAAGTCTGAAATTCTGCTATTTGCATGCACTCTAGAGCATTGCATAGCCTGGGTGATGACACTGTTTTTGCTCCAGCCATTAATTTAATTACAGTTATTTAAAAGTATCAGTCAGGCATCTATTTTCTTTTTAACTTAACTAAAACACGTATTGAAGAATCGCTTTGGAATATAACAGTGTATCTGCATATTATATCTTTCAGAAACCATGCTTCTTCCCAAACAGATGTGTGGAATTGAGGAAAATGTGTTTATCAAACAGGTTCAGTAGCTTTAAAGTCCCCTCATATTGAATAATAACTGAAGTATTATTAGTATTTCAGTCCTACACCAGCAAGAAGGAAAAAGGAAAAATGTCCAGAAGACTTATAGCAAAAGTACAGTCTGTTAAAATGTCAAATACAATATATCAAATGCAATATTAAATAAAATATCATAAACAACAACTGGCTGCAAAACATATTTTGAAGTGAATCACACAAAACTAATAGTAAACAATACTATAGAATGATACCAGCTATTTGTAAAATAAGTTAATATCCGTGCTTTAGTTTTTCCCTGTTTTGTTTCAGGACTTCAGTATGTGCAGGAAATGTTTAATACTCTTTAGGCCCTCCTTTCTCTTGGTCTCTAGTAATAGTAATAGTATTACATAGAGTATATACAGTATACACATTTATCTAGCAATTTTGGAGTGCATATGAAAAAAAACACTTTTTTTAGGTTTATAATGGTATTTGTAGGCTGCTAATTTCACCTACAGAAAACACGGCTACAAAAAAGTAGCAGGCAGGGTTTTTACCCTCAGGGACAGACATTTTACACATTAATCACTATACAATGCATCAGCAAGGCCAATTCACACCCAGAGGTTTAAAACTGGTTTGTCTGGACATGAGTCTCCGTTATATCAGGCATGTTGCAGACAGTTATATAGTTATGGTTTTAAAGTCCATATCTTGGTACTGTGTCCCACATTCGAGGTGGAGTGGTGGCACTGTGGCTAAGGCTCTGTGCCAGTGGCTAGAAGGTTGCTGGTTCAATTCCTGTGGCTGGTAGAGGAAATCTACTCCAGTGGGCCCCTGTGCAAAGCCCTTTATCCCAACAGCTCCAGGGGCACTGTCCAATAGCTGACCCTGCACTCTGACCCCAAGCTTCTCTGTCTGTCTGTCTCTCATGGAGAGCAAGCTGGGATATGTGAAAAGATGGATTCCTAATGCAAGAAAATTGTATGTGGGTAATAAAGTTATGTTAATGACATTCCTATTCTAATACACTATTAAAAGCTTACTAAAAGGAAACATGCTCACACAATTTTGAGTTTCCTTCATCATGGTGTCCCAATGGTTGAGGCATGCTTTATTTCATTGTACTACAATTTGATTTTAGAAATCACACAGTCTGATTGTACAAAGCAAACCACTGTCAATTTTTACCACACTTTTTTTTCTCCAAGAACAATGGGTAGTTATTTGTGTCGATAGCATTGAAAGTGAGTCCATAATACAATGATTATATGTATTTGGTTAAAAAGGAGAAAACTACTGTATATAAGGATTTATATCAAAATGGGAACAAATCCATTTCAATACACTTCATGGGACTTTATAAGTGCTTTATTATTGCAGCCTGAATAGATGTAACAAAGTCTGGGAAAGACCGTCCTCAGCACTGAGTATGAACTGTTTACTTCGTTTTGGATGAATATTTGCAGGCGCACAGTTCCCGAGAAATAGGGGTAGATAGCGTTTACTCGACAATGCCATGTCACCACACAGCAATGCCACACTTGTTGAAAAGCCTTTTTTGGTCTGATGCGCAGGCAGAACAAATCTTTCTGCAGAACAAAGGGCTTGTTACAGTACTATGAAGGGCTGGGGAGCCCATTATTGTCAAGTAGATTTTAGTCTCAAAGATGACTCTAACTGACTGCTTCCACAATAAAGCATTCTTTATTAGTAAAGAAGGCCTTTGACACTTTTGCTAGCAGGGAAGAGGTATTTCTGGGCTACAGATTGAAAGAATGGGAATACTGAATCAAACAATTATTGCATTCAGGAACCAGCAACTTCAGAATACATACATTTTGACTCTTTTCTCACTGGAGAAGCTCTGATATTTGTTCTAGTGTCTTGACATCATGTCTTTCATGTTTGTAAAGGAGACAAATATGAAAACTAATTCTTACATGAGCTGAATCCCTTTCAATATTCCTCATTCTTCTTTAACTTGAGAAGTTGATAGGCACTCATCAAAAACATTATCATGCACCTTGGGAAGCAGCCAAAGTGTTTAGATATTTAGCATATTTAACACATCTACCACATTTTTCATATTATAGAATCATATCGGAGATGCCAGACTATTACTCATCTGGACATTTGACAGAGATCATGAGTCTCAACAAATTCAAGATACACTTCAATCTACAGATAAATGATTCTCTTTAATATACAGTATGTACTGTATGTACTGTATGGGTATATGTTGTACACAGTATACATATTATCGTAAGACTGTTTAAATTGATAAGAATGATAAGTATACAGTACTGTACACAGCTGAAATTATTCTGAAAGTTCAATATTATCAATATCATATATATATATTGCCTTGAAAAATGATTGGACCCTTCCTATGGTGTCCCACTGTATTACATTACAAAATGATGAATACTCGTATTTTTAAATTAAGCAACAACCAATGAGAAAAAACCTGCTATATGTTGATTGCATACGTATTCAGACCTGTGGACTCAATATTGAGTGGAAACACCTTTGGCAGCAATTACAGCTTTCACCACACTCAAAGAGATATCAAGGGTCTTTGAAATGTTTTCATCCGCTTCTCCTGATCTCTGTTTTGATAC